GTTAACATTCAAACTTGATTACAATCTCAGGCATAACATCGACCATGTACTTGAGAAACTACCTTTGTTGCCTGACCAGTTTCTATTCATTTGGGTAAGATGAATGTCATTACACTTTGTCGACTTTTATTTGTCTATGATTCCTACATATTTATGTTCGATTGTTTGTAAACAAGATCAAGGAAAGTGCAAAAAAGAAGATAATGTTACCTACTGTAAAGATCTCAATGATGTTTGGAACGAGTATCCTGATTTTAACGCCCTAAATACACTGTTGGTCGATGATTCATCGCGAAAAATGATTTATAATCCGGTAAGTTACATTTATGCCATATTTTTCCAGTTAAACAGGTGTTCATACGTTGATGGATTAACAATTTATGTTTTTATATAGAAAAACAATTATATATGTCCACATCCCTTCGACGTTGCTTCCTATTCGGACGACAATGCTCTAGGTATGGCACAAAATTATTCTTTCTTATGCGATTTAGTTTATTGTTTGTAAATTTTCACCTGATTAGTTTGATAATTGAAATTATTTATATATGTCCTCAGAAAAAGGCGGTAACATAGGAGAGTATTTGGAAAATTTGTTGAAAGCGCCTAATGTTCCGGACTTCGTTAGAAATAACCCTTTTTCATCGGATTAATTTCGTTGTGGGTACATTATTTGAACATTGTTATGTATAAATTTGTTGTGTATGTATGTTTTGGTTTGATTATATTGTGTGTATATTTTTATTCGATTCAAAAATAGTAAAACATATAACACAGTAACTGTGTCTTTTAATATTCCACAACATAACAAAACAATTTATCTATCTCTTCCATGTGAATACTTTACTCCTATGTGACAAGTGTGACAACCCCATCAACTCACAACTTAGCTTTGAACTGAATCAATATTGTCTTTTACCTGCTTGATGGTTCATAACGCATATTACTTGAACAATATAAATCAATTATGCAATTTTCATCTTCAATTTAACATTGCATTTCATGTTCATTTCACATTTAACTAAATGGTGAATTTAAATTTCAATTTGAGTTTGAATTTCAATATAAATTTAGGCTCCACTATAAATATTAGCCCGATCTTTTGTTTCATCCAAACAACAACTTACTTAATGGAAGCATCGTGAGGTTGGATCAAATTCCATTTCTAAGGTAACAACTTACCTTTTTCAAAACTTATTAACTTAGATAATATGCATGTTATCATTGATTATTCCTAATTTCCATTGTTTTTTTCCAACTTTAAACGCGAGGGAAATCCTGACCATCGTAATTTTTGGTTATCAAGCAGGAAGATTGGATATCTGAATAATGCCTTTTGGATACTATCCATTTCAGCCAGCTCATTGAGATAGATTAACCCTAAACCAAAACAGTCTTAGCCAAACACACTTGATGTAGAAGCAGTTGCAGATTTAAAATCTCAACGGTAATGCATTTGGTTCTCAAACAGTTAAAGCATCAGAAATATTTCGGACGTATGATCTGGGTGGTATATGGGAAATACAACAAATGGCAACTTAAAATCCCGATAATTGAGGGCTACAACTTGTAATAATAACAAAAATAATTGAAGGGTACACGTGTATAAACTATCGATACTTTGCTAAATTAACAATGTAAACGGTAAAATTCTACCGGTGCAATGATAGTAGGCATACATAACAAGCGTCTCAACTTGTCATTTATGACTATTTTCATTATACCGGAGAACTTTTATCCGTTTACATTGTTAATTGTACCGGTACTTATGCTTTACGTGTGTATCATCCATTATTTAACATTATTATTAAAAGATCTAGCGTTTCATTCTTGAGAATTTTTGGATGCATTTTGTTGCATTACCCGTGTACCACCCAAATCATAAGTCTGAAATACTTTTGATGCTTTAAATGTTTGAGAACCAAATGGATCACCTTTGAGATTTTAAATATGCAGCTACTTCTACATCAACTATGTTTCTCTCAGACAGTTTCAGTTTACGGTTATCCTATCTTCATGAGCTGGATAAAATGGATAATATTCGGAAGACATTCTTCGTATATCCAGTCTTCCTGCTTGTTACTCAAAATTATGATGGTCGGGATTTCCCTCGCGTTTCATTTATGTTGATTGCACCGAATATATAACGACATTTGATCTCCGAATCGTTGTTTGTTGATTGGTCTGGCTTTTATATCCATATTTGCTTCTTTGTATACTGAGACATTTGAGGATTGTTGAAATATCAATACTAGTTATTAATGTATTTTATATATGCGTGCAAATATATCGAAACATATTATTAAAGAATCGTTTTCTATAATCTCCACAACGAAGTTTCCATACTTAGAATTTCTAAATCGGTTAAAATTTGAGAAAACAGTAAAAATTTAAACAATCGATTAAATATAACATATTGAAAATTGACACAATCGGTTTCTCTAATTTCGCCTATAAAGTATCGGTAACTTAGAAAATGTATCGACACATAAAGTTTCCAACAAAGTGTCGATACATTTATTAAAAGTAGCGATCTTCAAAACATCAAAACTGATTATTATACAGTAATAGGTAAAATATACCGGTTTAATGAGATAATAGGCAAATAAATGTGTCGATACATTTATTAAAAGTATCGATCCCAAAAACATCGAAACCGATAATTATAATTTAATAGGTAAATTTACAATGTAACAGGTAGATATATAATAGTTTTATAAGAAAATAAGTCTACATAATGTATCAACACTTTATAAATTTGTGTCGATACTTTTTGTCCAGAATGAATGCCCAACGAGGTGCACGCATAAAGTATTGATGCATTTAAAATTGTATCGATCCCAAAAACATCAAAACCGATAATTATAATGTAATATGTAACTTTACAATGCAACCGGTAGAAATATACCGATTAATTAGAAAATAGGTCAACATAATGTATCGACACTTTTAAAATTTGTGTCGATACTTTTTGTCCAGAATGAAAGCCAAACGAGGTGAACGCATAAAGTGTCAATACATATAAAATTGTATCGATCCCAAAAACATCGAAACCCATAATTATAATGTAATGTGTAACTTTACAATGTAACCAATATAAATACACCGATTTTATGAGAAAATAGGTCAACATAATGTATCGACACTTTTTAATTTTTTGTTGATGCTTTTTGTCTAGAATGAATGACAAACTAGGTGTATGCATAAAGTGTCTATACATTTAAAATTGTATCGATCCCCAAAAATCAAAACTCATAATTATAATGTAATATGTAACTTTACAATATAACTGGTATAAACACACCGATTTTATGAGAAAAAAGGTCTACATAATGTATCAACACTTTTTAATTTTGTGTCGATACTTTTTATCCAGAATGAATGACAAACTAGGTGCACGCATAAAGTGTCGATACATTTAAAATTTTATTGATCCCAAAAACATCGAAACCCATAATTATAATGTAATATGTAACTTTACAGTATAACTGGTATAAACACACCGGTTTTATGAGAAAATAGGTCTACATAATGTATCAACACTTTTAATTTTGTGTCGATACTTTTTGTCTAGAATGAATGATAAACTAGGTGCACGCATAAAGTGTCGATACATTTAAAATTGTATCGATCCCAAAAATATCCAAACCCATAATTATAATGTAATATGTAACTTTACAATATAACCGGTAGAAATATACCGGTTTTATGAGAAAATAGGTCTACATAATGTATCGACACTTTTTAAATTTGTGTCGCTACTTTTTGTCCAGAATGAAAGCCAAACGAGGTGCATGCATAAAGTGTCAATGCATTTATTAAATTTATTGATCCCAAAGACATCAAAACCCATAATTATAATATAATAGGTAAATTTACAATGTAACCGGTAGAAAAATACCGATATAATTAGAAAATATGTCAACATAATGTATCGTCACTTTTTAAATTTGTATCGATATTTTTTTAAATTACACGTGTTTTTTTTCTTCATTATTTATATGTTATCGACGCTTTTACACCGTCGATACAAAGCCCAAATAAAAAAACCCTAAAGGCAGAAGAGAACTCTTCCACTCCGACGAATACCAACATTCATAACAGGCACAATCAGATCTTAATGTAAATTTATCGATATTGTGGTATTCAAATTAGGTTTTGATTGATTTCCAGATTGGACATTTTTTTCCTTGATGTGTTCGATAAGTGTGTTGTCAAAACCCTAATTTTTTAGAATGCTAGTTTTCAGAAATAGGGGCTAGGTTTTAAAGTTTGTTGTTTTCGAATGGTTATAGGTTGAAAGTTCAATCTTTGTTAACGAAGATGATGACCTTCAAATGGAGCCCCAACGTATCAACATTGAAGAAAATCGAAAGCGACCAGTAAGTATCAATGTATTCATGTAATTGTTCTTGAAATGGTAATTGGATTAAAGTATTTAATAACTTTTAATTGATTACAAATTTCAAATCTCTACAGTCTGACTGAATGCCAAAGGATAAAGGAAGCTCAAAATCATGTTGATTACATAGCCAATAAAACCCCCTTGCAGGGTCCAAATGGTAAGCTATGAATTGGTAAGGCAAGCTATCTTTGAGGGTTTAGGGACTGAATCCCTCAAATGTAAGGAGTTCATGATTGAACATTACATATAATAGTTGTATTCAATTGTTGAAGAATTGTTCTTAATTTTATATAAGGATAGTTGTAATGATATCCGTTTACGTTTGGAGACCAATTAGTTAGATGCATGTAATACCCTATATCCTCGAGGCAGAGCACAAGAAATCTGCCACTTAAAGATTTACCAAGAGCGGTAGCTTTTGCTCTGCATGAAGACCGAACCTAGAATCAAGTTTGCAATTATGCCTATACTGCTGAAGAGAACCTACTGAATAATAGGATTTGCACACAACTGCAAGCATTTTATGGGAAATCCTGAGATCTCTGTTACATAATTTTAGTAGAGTAGTTGGGTTTAGGGTTTAAAATACTTGCAGTTGTGTGCAAATCCTATAATTCAGCAAGTTCTCTTCAGTATGATAGGCATAATTACAAAGTTGATTCTAGGATCGGTCTTCATTCAGAGTAAAAGCTACCGCTCTTGGTAAATCTTTAAGTGCCATATTTCTTGTGATCTACCTCGAGGATATAGGGTACTGCATGCATCTAACTAATTGGTCCTGAAACGTGAACGTATATCACTACAACTATCCTTATATAAAATTAAGAACAATTCTTCAACAACTGAATACAACTATTATATGTAATGTTCAATCATGCACTCCTTACGTTGGAGAGATTCAGTCTCTAAACCCCTCAAAGAAAGCTTGCCTTACCAATTCCTAGCTTACCACTTGGACCCCCAGGTTTTATTGGCGATGCAGTCAATATATGATTAACATGGATAATCCCAGTTACAGAATTGATTCCGGCCATGATTTACGGGAGACTCTATTCTACATATTGTTTGGCATATATGTGATGATGCGGATGGAATGTTGATACTTACGATCTGCATTATTCCAAATGTCACTAACATAATTGTCATCATGTGCGGGACTGAATGGCCATTTCATTCCGTCTTCGATAAAATCAGTTGATGTAGGATGTGTGCTTGTTTTAAAACTGAGATTGACTTGAGGACATGTTAATTTGTTATGTCCCTCACCATTGCAGAACCCACATCGCCTAATTTTCTTCTCGACCTTGTTCTTTGGTACTTCTTTTCACTTGCGTTGCTTTCGTTGAGGGTCGCGAACGTTGTTTACTACACTGCTCCGGTTGACTGAATCATTCAAACCAAACGAGTTTTCAAATTCTTCTGTTAGTCTTTTCATCTCATCTCTTGTGGTTTTGAAAGACGCGTCTGTCTTTGATGCAATGTAGCATAACCTACTTGTCGTTGCACGTAGAGCAGTGAACCTTGCCATTTGCATTACTTCTAGAAGCACATTGAAGTCAACAAAACTGGGTGCAGAAGCCTTCGCATCCTTAGTCCACCTACTTTGAATCAAAGACCCGGGCAAATATGTGTAATGCAAATACTTCAAAACGTGAAGTTGATGGCGATATGGAAGTCTGACGGTCTTAATTTTTTTGTATGAGTAATTTAGGGTTTCTGTACGAGAATCAAAACTAATTTCAAATGTCCTATTTTTTCTTTATACTTTGTCAAAATATAATTTTGACATTCATCTGATAAGGACTGAATCTCTTCCTGAATCCGGTACAATGTCTCCCATTGAAGTTCTTCTTGGAACGCATGAAAAGATTCGTGCTTATAAATCTCAGCATCATGGCTTTCAAGGTCAACCAGTTTTATGATTTGGAAGGGCTTCGTCTGGGAACTTAAGTAATCCACTTTCAACTTGTTTATACACATTCTACTAATTCCATCTTCAATTTCACGAATAACATCTAAATATGTCTTCTTGTGTTTCAGTGCAATCGCGAGTGAAGCATTCATAGACTCACACATTTGTGTTGAGCGAATATTGGCAAAGAAATGACCGGTTAGATATGCTTGTGCCCATGAGTGCAAATTATTTCCCTTCTAATTCACCCATGGATACTTTTCGACGTTGAATTCTAAAACAACTGAACTCCATTGAATATCAAATTCGTCGGTTATCCACTAGGAAGCCATGCATTTTGAGAATGCTGCTGTAAATTTTCGGTCACCAATGTTAGCTTGTGAATTGCGAGAAAGATGCCAATAACATAATCTGTGCTTAGCATAAGGGATAACAGATTTGATAGCCCTCTGCATTGCCCTATCCCCATCGGTGACAACTGAAATATGCGATTTATTCATCATGGCTTCTAAAAAATTCTGTAGCACCCACTCGAAAGATTGGGACGTCTCGTCAGCGATTATGGCAGTAGCAAATACAATTGTGTTATGGTGATGATTGACACCGACAATAGGCATAATTGGTCTACCATATAAATTATCTTTGTACGTTGTGTCGAACGCAATTACATCACCGAAGCATGTGTAATCTGATCTCGATGTAGAATCCGACCAAATAAAATTATGCAATGCCCCTGATTCATCTATCGAGTATGTCATAAAAAACCCAGGATTATTATGTTTCTTATAATCAAAGTAAACAATAAATGCATTCACATCCCCATCAACGATTTCCTTTGCTTTACCTTTTTGAAGTGCATTGTAGAGGTATGTGTAAATCCAACATTATGATAGCCCCCTGCCTACTGCGTTAAATAGTTCATTACTTGTGACGTACCAATATCGACCTCTTTCAATACTGTTACCTCATCGATATCAGCCTTACTTACAGAACACATAAATGGTGTCATAGCAGGTGTGGACAATACATGATTATGTTTCTGATAAGACATACTTATAACCCAATGATCGTTTGTATTTGTTGCTGTAACTATGACTCTAGCCTTGCATTCTGTTCTTGTAACTGGCGTATGAGCACGTTGACGATCAACAATATTGACTTTTGATACTCGAAACCCTTTTTTGGAACAATAAAATTCTTATGTCTTCACATTCCCTTCCATGTTAAGCCATGTTGTTCCCCGACGTGCACTAAACCCATGTTCCTGTGCGAATCCCTTGTAAAAGTACCAAGCTTGATCACGTGAAGATAAGAGTTGACCAACCAATCTGTCAGATTCATCAACATTATGTACTTCATGGCATTCCTTGGTTTAACATTGTCTGCATCAGTATGATCCATGGGAAAAATTTTGTTGTGCAAGTTCAGTGGTCCCAACAGGAGTTGATGGAGATGTAAGTAAAGGTTCATTGAACAATATGTTTCAGTCGTGCTTTCAATAGGATGTGGTATTGATAGTGGTAGTTGAAGGGTGGGTACAACATGAAATTCGCAGGACATATTTAGATATGTACAATAACTACAAAATTCAATAACTTTAAAGTAATAGGTAAATTTACAATGTAAGTGGTAAAAATAGACTTTTTAATGACAAAATTCGTAAACACAAAGATTTGTTTCTAACATTTTGTCCAGTATGTTTCTCAAACATAAAATTTCCAAAACTGTGTCGATACATTTATTGTAAGTATCGATCCTCAAAACATCGAAGCCAATTATTATAAAGTAATATGTAAAATATATCGGTTTAATGAGAGAATAGGTAAACATATGTGTCGATATATTTTCTAAAAGTATCGACCCCAAAAACATCGAAACCAATAATTATAATGTAATAGGTAAATTAACAATGTAACCGATATAAATATAACATTTAATTAAAAACAGGTCAACATAATGTATCGACACTTGTGGAATTTGTGTCGATACTTATTGTCCAAAATTAATGCCCAAACAAGGTACATGCATAAAGTGTTGATACATTTATTAAAAGTATCGATCCCAAAAACATCGAAACGATAATTATATTGTAATAGGTAAATTTACAATGTAACCGATATAAATATACCGATTTTATGAGAGAATAGGTCAACATAATGTATCGACACTTTTTAAATTTGTGTCGATATTTTCCAGAATGAATGTCAAACGAGTTGCATGCATAAAGTGTCGATACATTTATTAAAAGTATTGATCCCAAAACATCAAACCGGTAATTACAATATAATAGGTAAATTTACAATGAACTCGGTAGAAATATATCGGTTTTATGAGAAAATAGTTCTACATAATGTATCGACACTTTTTAAGTTTGTGTTGATATTTTTTTCCAGAATGAATGCCCAACGAGGTGCATGCATAAAATGTCGATACATATAAAATTGTATCGATCCCAAAAACTCAAACCGATAATTATAATGTAATAGGTAAATTTGCAATGTTACCAATATAAATACCGATTTAGTTAGAAAATATGTCAATATAAGCGCTACCTATTACATTATATAAGCGCTACCTAATATGTTATTGTACTTAATAATATTTCCGGTTAAATTTCTATTTTATTATATAATTTCTACCTATTACATTATATAAGCGCTGACTAATATGTTATTGCACTTGATAATATTTCCGGTTAAATGATATATAAATCAGTCTACTTTTAACCGGTCACTGTTTATTCACTTGACCAAGCTACTTTGGAAAACAGACTTAAAACAGAGTCAAGAGTATAATAGAATAACTGTAAAGATAGTGGCAATCACTGTAACGAAACAAAGCATTTGAAGAGAGAGGTAGGAACAAAGAACAGCAACAAAACAACATAAACGCCAACGAGTTATCACAAATGTACATAAATAACAGCTTTGGGAAGCTCTATCAATATCAAAGTTACGAGTTCTTTTGGGGTCTGTTTCTAAGCACCTCGCCACGCCATATCTTTTTGTACAAAATGTACGTTTATATTTTTAGAAGATAACAATGAAGACATCACATGTTGAATTTTTAAAATATTATGGCTTGATAAAAAATGCTTAAATTATACAAAAAAAATTATTTGGGTGATTAATTTTTTTTGTCAATCCTGGTGTCTAACGTTGTAAATGTTTATTGTTTTGAGTGATTGATCCATAACCGTCATTAAGAAAATACTGTTAAATATCACGTGTCCCATTTATAAAATTTTAAAAAATTATTTTAAAAAAACTAAAATTATAAAAAACCTAAGTTTCTTTAAATTATAAAAATACCCTAAAACCTTAACATCTCTAATTTCAATTCCTATTTTCAATCGTGTCGGCCACCAACTGGCCGACCATCTCCTTTGTAATCATACTAAAATTCTAAATCCTTAATCCTAAATTTAATGGGTGAGAAATTTTGTTGAAATTTAATCCCAGTATTCCTTATGGTTGAAACTAAGTGGAGGTCGACCAGAGAAAGGGAAAGGGGGAAGGGATTTGCATGTGTTGCCTAGAGGGAAGGGGAGAAAGGGGTAGGCCTGTAAATGAACCGAACGTACACGAACGGAGGAATGTTCATGTTCATTCATTTAATAAATAAACGAACATAAACGAACACGAGCATAAACAAACAAAAAAAATTGTTCATGTTCGTTCATTAAGGAATATAGCTTGTTCATTTAATAAATAAACGAACATAAACGAATACGAACGAACGAACACGAACGAACATAAACGAACACAATAAACGAACATAAACGAACAACACAAACACGCACAAAAAACTTATTCGAACACAACAAACGAATGTAAAAAAAGTAAACAACAAAAATAACAACTTAAAATTCATTAATATAACCTGCAACTTTAGAGTTAATTTTTTCGAATACGACAAAAACATACATAAATCATAAATAAACTATATGAACATAATAAAGTATAAAGTTAATTTGTTCAACAAAACAATCTTCTTGAAATCCAAACAACTTCAATAATCTTCGTAACATATTCAACTTGCTCTCTGTTCAAACATAAATGAGCGAACATAAATGAAAGAACATAAACGAACATATAATCGAACGTTCACGAACGTAAATGAACGAACAAACCCTTTGTTCATGTTCGTTCATTTAATTAAACGAACGTAAAATCTTGTTCATGTTCGTTCATTTAATAAATAAACGAATATAAACGAACTTCCCGCCGCACGATTTATGAACGGTTCGCTGAATGTTCAGTTCATTTACAGGGAAGGGGAGGGCGGGGTTGAAGTTGGGGAGTACTTTTAAAAAAATATTTTTTTAATAATATTTTTATTTTTAATAAATAGAATTTTAAAAAAATATAAGTGCAACACGTGTTACCTAACGAACATTTTTAACAACTGTTATGGTTGAGGTATTTAAAATGATAATATTTGTAATGTTAGACATCTGGATTGATAAAAATTCTTTATGCTCTTAAATGAGAAAAAGATATAGCTTAGGCAATTTTTTTTATTAAGCCAATTATTAATAATTATTATTGTGTAGTTATGTTTCCTTTTATAAAAGGATAAAGTACACAAATAATTTTTTTCATAGAATTTTATTTTATTAAGTTTATCGATTATTAAAAGTTATAAAATGATGTTTGATCTAATGTTTACGTCATACCTTTCATATATATATCATTACACGTAGATACGCAAAATGCCACCTATTTTATGATTAAACATATCCACTCGTGCAATTGTTCTTTCGCTCGTAGCCCAATTTTATGTATATGGCTCGACATTTCTCATTATCACATTATAGTTTTTATGTTTAATCATTATCAAATATAAATGTCGAAACGATTTCCGTTTTAAAAGTTTATTTTAAAGTGTGATTTAATAAAAATCCCGTCTCAATTAATTTGGGTGTTTCTTTTTAAAATTAAAAAAAGTTCAAAGAGTTGTCACCAATATTTAATTAGGGTGTGATTGGACACCTAAAACGATTATCATTTTAATAAAAGATTAATTTTGATTTTATTAAAAGAATGTTTTTAGGTCTACATTCCAAAAGCTTAGTTTGGGAGTCGATTACGCATGGGGAAGGATTACCACCCTCATAGCGCCCTAAATTAGTACCTAGTCGATTACTTAATTGTCTTTGCAATGAAACTTACAAATTCAAATTTAATTCGATTTAAGATCCCTTTAAATAATGTTATGAATTTTAGGATGAAAAACGATAATATTTAATTATTTCATATCCAGAAGAAAATACCTCTTATGTCTTAAAGCAGTTAGTTCTTACTCCAATTGAAATAAAGGAATATTATCACCCGATTAAAAAATTCATTATTAATTTGAATGCATGAATGGTGATAAAATAAAGTAGAAAAATTTAAATAAAAAAATTATCAATCATTTTAGAAAGAAGAAAAATGTTCGATTATTTAAAGATGTCAAGGCCTGGCCTTTTGTAAGTTTAAACGATATTTTTTTCGACGAGTTTAAAAAAACGAACATTTTTTTCATTCCCAAATTTTAAGTGTAGTCAATTTTTATGGTTTTTACTTAATATGATACACTTTTATTTTAAAATTATCGGAAGTGACTTTCTTATACGTTAAGACAATTATCTCACGACAACCCTAAAATAAAATAATATTACCTTTAATCCAATTATTTGAACTAAATCGGGTTTAGTTATTGTGAGAGTATCATACAATTTAATTAAAGGATGAGCTTAGATCGAATTAAAGGATATTTAAAGGCATGCATAAAAACATATATTTAATACTATTTAATCATGTGACATATTCACCATACTTAACACACGAATAATAGAATAGAATAAAAGAAAGAAACGTGTAATCATGCATCAATAACTATTTAAAATTCTCTAAATAAAGCATGTAATATACCTATCATATATATTTTATGTACATTATCCTAAAAGAAAAGAAAGAATCAATGTCATCTGGCATGATAAGAACCATAATGTAATATAAATAGATGTATTAAACACATGCTAGGCTTAGACAATTAAGTAAGGATCACTGTAACAACCCTAAATAATAATAAATTAATAAATTAAAATTTTAAATGAATTAATTTAATGAAATTAGGGGCCAAAGTGCAAGTTTTTAGAACTTACAAGTTGTTTTATAAAGATGCAAGAAGTTCAGGGACTTAGTCTCAAATTTTCCCATTTTATGTCGATAATGAGATAATAATAATACTAATAAAATAAGGAGTTGGTGGATGCATGCCAGGAAGGTCCCATGCCCTAGTCATTTATGTTAGGGTACTATTGGTGATATTTTTATTAAATATATATATTATACGTTTAAAGTCGGGTCATATATACCCAAAAAATCCCCAAATCAATTCCCCAATTTGCCTCAAAATCCCAAACCTAGCCTCACGTCGCCTCTCGAATATATTGATGCCCTGCCACCTTTTAGCCCGTTAACACCACTATTGTGTTCACCGTCGACAGGAGAACAAAACCCAAGCCCCATCGCACCGTGAATCATCATCGATCGGCATGAAAAAATCTGAAGAAGCTTATTCAAAAAAACCCCCAAATTACGTTCAATTTTTCCTTGTTTACCACTGTTCATGCAACCCCTAAGTCTCACCGCCACATCCGTTGGCTTCTCTGACGTCGTGCGTTCAAAACCCAACTGGTGGGTCTCTATGTTATCCTTGTTTTTCATTGTTTGTCGTCAGGATAAGTTTTGAATGATTTTCGATGAGTTTTGGTGAGTATTTTTGCGAAATTAGGTTGATTGTGGTTAAATTTAAGTTTATAGTTGATCGGGGAGAGTCCGATCGTTCAAATCGATGTCTGTCACCATCGCATGCACTGCCATGCACCGATAGTGCACGTGGGATTCTTTCGTCGGTCTAGGAGCCTTCTAGAACCGGTCCAGTCAAATCGAACTGATCCAAGCTGAGTAAACTCGCTGAGTCAACTTGGACAGAGTCAACCCATTGATTTTGATTGACCGTTGACCTGACCGTTGACTTTGACCAAAGTTGACTATCAACTTTGACCAAAAAGTCAAATTTTGCAAAAAGTCATATTTTATGTTTTTCGACGTCATGAGTCTGAATCCAAAGTTTGTTTTGCCAAATTCGAACTCAAAATCCTCTGAAATGACCGTCAAACTCGAGCATGCATATGTACCTAAGTGTTTATTTACGAATAATTAAATTAAGGTTAGAGATTGATTTTATATTGTTATTTGAAGGTACACGAGACTCTCCCGATCGTTCAATAGCTCGACCCAACTCTTCTCGATCAATCCGACCCCATGAGCCAATGGTTACTCATATGACTCGTGAACCTTATGAATACCGAGATTAAAATCTTGCTTCGATATTAACTCAGTAATTTATGAATTAGGTTCGAGCACTGCTGCAGAGTGTGGTGAATTAGGTTCTCAGTAGACTCTCTGACCGACCCCATTTTGAGAGGTGTGTTCCTTATATGTCATATAATTGTTTTACTTGTTTTAAAACATGATTTTCCAAAAATGACTGATTTACTTGACTACTGTTTATGAATAATAATTGTTTGATATATATTATTTAGTTACTTGTTTACATTGGAAGTACGATTATACTGATTACAAATTCATGGAAATTTCTACTTACTATGTGAACTATTTTATTGAAATATTGTTTTGGGTAGGATATTGAAGTATGGAGGTTTAGCTCTGATCAAGCTGATAATACCATACAGACCTAAGGCGACCCTTGGGTAGGCTCTGAGGCCCCAAAAACTTTCTTGGGTAGGCTTTCAGGCCCCAATGTACTCATTTAGGATGATTTTTATACTCAATAGGTATAAGGTAACCCTTATGGATGGAGTTCTGGGAAACTGCATTTTAGTGTACGAGATGAGGGTAACTATGAGTTTTAAATTCAACTTATCGATGACCTTTATGAAACCTTACTGAAACACTTATTGATTGTTTCTTCTATTATGTTTTACTTGCACCATTGAAACACATTGAGCCCCTAGCTCACCCTTTTCAAACTATTTTCCCCCATTTTAGATACTTTTGGATAAGCACCCCGAACTATACACTTGGAGGATTGACACATTCTTATTGAACTTTTTGTTGTAATGTTTCTGTAACACCCCCAACCCGTAACCGACCCGGATCCGAGTCCGAGGTGTCACTTTGACTTTTCAAAACTCTGTTCTTTGCAAATCAACAAAATCTTAAATTCACCATTTAAGAAAATGAGTACATTACATCAATAAATCCATTCAAATTGTTTTCTAAAACCAATCAGAGCATATTCAATTCAAAACTTGTAACTACATGCCAACAAAATTCTATAAACAAAATACATATATTCAATACATTTCTGATCTGATCCTCGCAAGGAAGATGCTGACCTGTCTTGCTCCTCGTTACTTCCATTCTCGCTTTCCAAACCTACATGTGAAACATTCACACGCTAAGTCGATGACTTAGTGAGACATATAAAACATGTAATGTAACTCTACTCATATCAATGCATAAACAATTAATATCTTAATATCATACAAAAGCATATATCCTTTCATATAACCAATACACACATATACATATATCATTAGCATGATTATCAGTACTTATGTTATTATTACTGATTCCTTTTTATCATATAAGCATATACTAAACATTTCTATACACACCATCGAACTTACATATCATTTCACAACACAGCACACATAGTATCATATCAAGTTATTTATTATCTTTAAAGCTCATGCGCACTTCTAAGAACTTAAGGTATGTGAGTACATAGAGGTTGTACACATATATTATCACCAGAGCTCGTATAATTCCCACTAGGGGCGCGTAGAATTTGTCTCGTAGGACCACTATGTCCCGAAGGACCACATATCACATATGTCCCATAGGACCACATAGAACCCTCGACTTTTGGCATGCTAACTATACCTATAGCTCTCATAACACATGACATGGGCATTATCTTTTATATCATTTCACATATTCACATAGGTATATAGTTTACCTTAACGTAGCATATTTCCATGTAATTCACATTCACGTATCACATAGCTTTTCACATTTACTTGTATTCTTTTTCACATAGCTTATAGTCATGGGTTTTATCTCATAACATATATTCACATATACATGTTCTTGTTTTCACATGGTCACGTAGCTCATATCAATTACTCATTTATGTTCATATATCACATTCATATCCCATGATCCCATTTCATATAAACTCATATTCACATCTCTTATCATCATATAATCATACCACTTATTATCACATGGCACATGGCTACCTAATCTATCACACAACATGCATTCACATGAATCATATATAAAGATGCATTTAACTTCTAGATGTATATATATATATATATATATCCATCTACTCATAAACATCATATCATAACAGGCTTGTATCTCTGTACTCATGTAATCTAATATCGGAATTAGACTCATCGCAAGTCTTAATTCCCTAACATAACATATACTTACTATCATGTAGTCACCTTATCCTTGCTTGATTCAAGTCAACACTAACACTTTATCTCTCTCTCTCTACCGTTTCTAATTCTTTGATTGTTCCGGAACAGAGTTACGTTCAATATCTACATAATCATACATTGATACATATCAATATTCCAAATGTCATACTCTAGTCTTTCATTTCTTAAACTAAAAGAAAGATCTATCTTCATTTCCCTCTGAAGTGTATCGGTACACACTATAGGGTATCGATACATCCCTTAACGTGTATATTGATACACTACCTATGTATCGGTACACAAATTACATTCGAAGTTTTCATTTTAAGGGGGTATCGATAAACTCTTGAAGGTATCAGTACCCTTTGAATATTTTTCGGCATTTCTTTTCTGATGTATCAGTACCTGTTGAATGGGTACCGATACACCTAGCTTAGAATTACATTTTAAGCACGAAATTTACCTCATTTCAACTCCAAACACTTCATATTTCCTTCCTTCACATATACTTAACTCACCCTACTCATTATTAAACTCATTAATACTCATTTATCACCTCTTTAATCTCAAAATCCTATCTTCCATATGTAATTCAAGAATTACACCAAATTTGTAACATGTTCTAAATCCAATTCTAACACTTCATATCTTTCAATTTAACCATTGACAAGTCAAATTCAACTTCAAAATCTATTAACTCCTTATATTTCAATAATTCACTTAAAAACTCTTCATATTTAATCCTTCATAACTCATCCATTTTGGAGTTTCAACATACTTTAATCTCTAAATAATCTTTCTTAGCACCCCAAGAATCAAAACTAAGCTTAAAACTCAAGAATTAACCAGTTGAAATTAAACTTACCTTTTTCATGGAGCTTACGGGAACAGAAGAGGAAGAAGACAACCCAAGCTCTAGAATTTTCTTTCATTTCTCCCTATTACCACATGTTGCTCTCCTATACAAAGGGAGAAATAAAATCATTCCTTAGAAAAGACCATTTTAACCCGTATTTCAATTAATATTTACTAAACAATAATCCATTAAATGTTACCAATTTAGTCCCTGAACTTTTTAATCTTTCCAAATCAGACCTCAAAGTTTTAAATTTTCCATTTTAGTCACTAGCCCCGATTTCATGGTATTACAGTTTCTATTTTCCAAACTGTTTTATTTACGATGACATGTGCCATTTTTTTAAAAATACTTATGTTTATGATTTTCATTGTGCTACGAATTATGATGTATTTTATTTTATTCAATCATTGACGAATTGAAATTTACTCGATGAAATTTTTATCATTTTTAACTATGTGCTCATTTTTTAGATATTGTTTATTATATGGTTTTAAATTATCGAAAATGTTTTTGGAAATTTTATTGTAATTCGCTAGATCTAGTCGTAATGCATAAGTTGGGTATAGGGGATTACATTTATTGGTATAAAAGCTTTTGGTTTTTAAACCTCAGACTGTGAATGTGTCCTACATAAAATTTTACACTATTTTGAAAATGTTTTACAAAATTTCTATTAGGTCATGTCACCCATTTTTACAAGTTAAATGTGTTAAGTACTCTAAGTGTTAATTTAACCCCAAGTTTAACTCTTGTAGTGAGCCGAGATCCTCCATACGAGCACTAAACGAGGTCATCGATCTGGTTACGAGCGAGGTCAATTTGATAGGTTTACAGATCCCACAGATGATTTTAATATAGATTTGTCGCAAGTTCTTGGAATTGATATGGCGACGCCTGTTAGGGGAGTGTCAGTCGCTGGTGCTGAGCCTACGAGAGTTGTGTTAGATAAGACTCTCGGTAGGCAGTTTGTGCAATTGATATAGGATGCGTTTAGAGCTGCTAGTATCACACCTGAAGTCCCTATCATGTAGACCCTAATCATTAATAGGGTTAAGACTTTTAGAGGTATGACTGGCGGAGCTCCTACTAAAGCTAAAGACTGGCTCTGTGATATAGAGAGACGTTTCGATCAATTGGGTTTGGATTCATCGATTTTGTATCTATGAGCTGTTTCGATGCTAGATGGGAATGCCCATAGCTGGTGGGAGTCAGTTCTGAGCAATGTCCATACTGATCGTCTGATGTGGGATTTATTCAAAAAATGCTTCAGTAAACATTTACTTGGAGAGTGTTATTTAGCTGAGAGACGATAGTAGTTCTAGGACTTAGTGCAAGGATATATGTCAGTCTCTAAGTATGAGATGAAAATTTTTTATCCTGCTGAAGTATGGTGCTAGTTTAGTTCCTACTAAGAGTAACATATGCCTCAAGTTTTCCTTAGGACTCAGATATGAGTTGCGTAGGCAAGTTGTGACCCATCAAGATGCGATTTTTAATGTTTTATTTGGTATAGCGAAGGATGTTGAGGAGGTGGAGGCCTTGGCTTCGGTCAAAGATCGATTAGATCGAGAATGACCTATAAGGCCTTTCTGCCCTACCGAGTCTTCGGTACATCCTTAGAAGATGACTCGTACTTCGACCCCCTAGAAGAGTAATACCAATTCTAGGCCTGTAGCACATCCACCCTCAGCTGTCAATCGTGGCGGTTCATCGAGTTTACTTCAGGTGCCTGTTTATGACTTTTGTAGAAATCGACACAGAGAAGAGTGTCGTAAGAAGACGGGTGCTTACTTCTATTGTGGATATAGTTGTCACTTTCGAAGGTACTGTTCATAGTTAGTTTCAACAGAGTAGACAACTACCTAGACTCTTGCATATTCTCATGCCTTAGTTTATATCCCATCTAGAGGTTGTAGCCAGGGAAAGACTACCAGAATATTTTCCAGAGTAGATAGTAGAGCCCGATCCCAGCAGAACAGAGGGTCAGCAGTATCAGAGGCCAGACAGTCTGCTCTGGTGTATGCCACCAGACTTCGGGATGACAGAAATGAGCCAGA